TGGGCGGAGCTTCACTATCCTTTCTCTGCCTTGCAGCTATATTTGCTGTGATCAGTGGGAATAAAGTAGTTTTAATATGTTTTTAAGTGAGAAAATACACCTGAAAACGTAATCAGTGCAGTCAGTTCATTCAGATTATCATCCTGCCTTCCAATATTTTTTCTGTCGGAGCCGCTCAGACCCCCACATACCAGCGGTGCGCTGCCAGTAGGGATCCCTTCATCAACAGCCTCTGGCCGGGTCGCGGTTCACCGCGGCAGCTGGTAGGTGTTTTTCATCTAAATAATCCGATCTGCAGGCAGCAGGATAATAAAAGCGAACATATTCTGCAGGCAGATTTCTGCATTTTAAGTTAATTTATGGGTCAATAAACTGTTTCAGAGGAGTGATCACAGCGCTCTGTATCATCAGCGGTGTGTGTCTCTCTCTGCCAGCTCCCAGATCAGCTTCTCTGATTGGTTAATGCGGCGCGTCGAGCAGCAAAAGTAAAATTTTTCCATCTCGAGCAGCAGCGCGTTTGCGGCGCGTCAGATGCTTAAACGCTCCCGACGCGCTGCTTCAGCTTCTCAGACGCGCTGCGCCTGCTGCTCAAAACACGCTGCAGGACCTTTTGCTGCGCCTTGACGCGCGTCAACCATTGACTTTGCATGTAAACTCGCTGCTTCTGCTGCGTCCGGTGTGAACGCAGCATAAGAATTAATGTAAAAATAGATGTACTTAAGTAATGTAGTGAAAAGTAAAAGTAAAAAGTAGTGCAGTTTGAATGACATTTTTTTTTACATTTTGGTAAACTTTGAAGGTTAAATTTACTTAAAATAATATAAACAACCAAGTGTTGCGACACAGGTATATCCTATTGGTGTTGATGAACAAGCCCAGGCAAGACCCGACTTTGTAGTCAGTAGGTGGGTTTTTTATTTGTATTTTTTTATCATTTTTTTTTTATTTAGTAATTAAACCAAACATTAAAAATGTATCGGAGTAAAAGTATGCAATTAAGTTCGTAAATGTATTGAAGTAAAAGTGAAAGTTCTCGAAAAAAAATGTATACTCTTGGAAAGTATAAAGTACTCCAAAATATACATAAGTACAGTAGTGAAGTATTTTTACTTCGTTACAATACAACACTGGCAAAAACAGCAAGTTTTCTCAAAGCAGGAGGAAAAAAAGGAGACATTCCGTAACTGCAGATCATCAATCATTGAGGTTCTGAAGGGAAACCTTAGACTCACGTCTGGAGGCGTCTCATTATGTCTTGCTGGCGTTTTCGTAAATGACATCAGAGGTGATGGACTGCTGTTTCTTCTTCTGCCACATCAGGAGGACGCACTGGTGGATGAAGACGTACTGCTCCTGGAGACAAACAGGGAAGGTCTCAGCAGACCTGCAGCCTCCTCCAGCAGCTTCTGCTTTTCATGTGTTTTTCTGGAGCTCAGGTTCCTCACCTCAGTCTGGACCATGGAGAGTCGATGGGATCTCATCTCCGACACCATGCCCAGGATGTCCACGAACTCGTGCTCTCGGATGTGCTGCATGAGGCGATCCAGAGCGATGAAGGTCCCGGTTCTGCCGACGCCGGCGCTGAAACAGACACAGGAATCGGATCTAGGTTGTTTATCAGACGACTCGCTGCTCATTGACACAAATCTTCACAGTTTGGTTCTGGCTCCTGAACCTCCAGCTTTTCCTCAGGTTTCCTTAATTATTCAGACAATCTGAATACTTTTCAGGCAGGTTCTGGAAAGTCCAATGATCAATGAACAAAGAAATGACCTCTCTGCTTCACCCAGACTCTGTTTAATCACAGCCAGGGAGGGATTTACCACTGGGCAATAAAAGGCAGTTACCTAGTGCCCCAAGTTCCTGGGGGGACCATAAAACTGTGTATAAATAATACAACTACTCATCATTTGTGCAAATTAATTATGTTTGGGATAAAAATCAGAACACTTATAATATTCAGTGTGTCTCACCCCCCCTCCCTTCAGTGTCCACCATATTGGATCAGTCCATTTGCTGCACATGTTCAGAAAGGTCCAAACAGACAGCAGCAAACCATTTAAAATAAAAGATGCAAAGAGCAGTGTTGCCAACTTAGCGCTTTTGTCGCTATATTAGCGACTTTTCAGACCCCTCTAGCACTTTTATTTCAAAAAAGTGCCTAGCGCCAAATCTAGCGACTTCTTTCTGCTACTGGAGACTTTGGAGACAACATCTAAAAGCAGCGAACTCTGCTCTCCAGAGCGAGTAGATTGGTAACCCCGCCTCCTGCTCTCCTCTATCTTGTCTGCTTGTCCTTTCCCGCATCTCTCCCCTCTCTTTCATACCCCGTTTCTTGTCCGCCTGCTGTCGAAAAAGCGAGCCACTAGTGCCATAAAAGCTAAAAAAAATAAAATAAAAATAAGTGAGCTTAGTGCTTGGAAAAAATCACTTTCACTCATTTTGAGACAGCATGAAAAGTCAGCTGAGTACAAAACATAGAGAGGAAAACAACAAGAAAAGGGACAAACCTAGAACAAAGAATGGATGTCTATGCTATTAAAATTTCTGTATCTGTATAATGGGTCTGTTTTATGTGTTGTCTTTTCAATTCAGAGGTCCCAAACACCTGTCTTTGCCTAGGGCCCCAGATTTCCTAAACCCGCCCCTGAACAAAGCTCCCTGCTGCTCTCCAGAACTGGACCTTTCAGAACCAGCAGCTGACTGACCTGCAATGGACGACGATTGGATCTTTGGTCCTGTTAGCCTGCTGCCGTACGATGTGCACAAACTGCAGGATGCTCTCGATGGCGTTGACGGTGGGAACGCCGTGATCCGGCCACGAGGTGTAGTTCAGATGGAGGACGTCCAGAGTCTCGTCCGCCTGACGGAGGCACAAATATCTATGGGTGACCCGATCTAAAGTTTTCCAAAAAAACGTCCCATCAGAGGAGAAAACTTACGTATCCGAGTCGAAACTTCCGGATGATCCACTCCGGAGAGCCTTCCTCAGAAAGCATCTCCACGCTGATGTCGCCGTACATCACCGGCTCGTCTGTGAACGGCCAGTAATGATCGCATTTCACCTGGAAACACGACAGAAAAAAGATCAATCTGCTATTAATGACCTTCTCCTTATGAACGCTGCGTTTCATTCATCCAGGCTTCAGAGCTGCAAGACCACATGGAGTCTAAGGCAGAGGAGCTGTTTATCATATTAGAGTTGGCAACCCAAAATGTTCAAAGAGCCACATTGGACCAAAAACAAAACAAAAAAACAAATCTATTCGGAGCCGCAAAAGCCGGGGTTTCTATGGCAACACGGGTTCTAAGTGTATTATCCCACTATTAAAAAGGACTACCTAGGCTTAGAAAAATCAAATGAACATTTTGCCCAATAAAACAAAAACTTATCTATCATAGCCAGCGGTCCTTCACACACGGCTATTATCGGCTAATTATCGGCTATTAACGGCTAAATTATCTTAAAAACGTACATTTATTGAAGAACGGCAACAGAAAAGAGAACGTTTAACTTGATACTCTGAGCTCAGTAAGCGCTCCATTGAAAGCTGCTGCTGCTGCAGTGCATGCTGGGACAGCTGCCAATCTGAAGAACGGACAAGTCTGCTCTGATGCATGCTGGGTAAAGAGGGAGGGGTGAGAACAACATCCGGGGACTTTGTCCGTTCTCTGTCTGCTGTTCTTGTGAACTGGAACAGTACTAGGGCTGAGGCTGATGACGTGTCACTAGTACACGAGAACACACAAGTACACATATTGAGAAACCGCATTACAAAGTGTTTAAGATAAAAACAATGGTTCTCATAACAAGCCAGACTGTTTCTCA